TTGCCACCACGTACTAAGTCATGTTTTGCAGAGGGGTCAAATACTTATTTCCCTCATTAAAATGCAAATAAATTTATAACATTTTTGACATGCGTTTTTCTGGATTTGTTTGTTGTTATTCTGTCTCTCACTGTTCAAATAAACCTACCATTAAAATCTCAGGTTTGTGAGATCATGGTGGGAACATAGCGTACAAACAAGTGATAACGCCAGTTTTGTTACTCCTTTCTGTTGATAGAATTGTCACTGCTGCTCAAGCTAGCCTCTGTTCTCTTCATATCTCCACACAGCTGCGCCCTTGAAAGATACGAAAGCAACAGAATGGACCCAAAAACTGTGGTCACTCTTAGACGGCCCTTTGTCTTTGGCCTCATGACCAAGTTACACAGAGACAAGAGAGGAAAAACACTAGCTTCTTACATGACAGAAACAGACAGTGGAAGTTTACAGGTTTAAGACTTATACAGCGCATGTGTATAACAGAGTTTTGTAATTTTCCCAGCACATTCCTCCCTTTTGAGACTAATCTCAACCTAATATAAAATTACAAGTAAGCATGTAAGAAATCATTCATAATGTAAGTGTCACGATCGTCGTAGGGAATAGACCAAGGCGCAGCGTGATGAACGAACATGTTTATTTATCTTTAGTGATAAATACTGACAATCAACAAAACAACAAACGACTCGTAACGTCCTAGGTAACATAGACCAACACGGAACAAGAACCCACAAAAACAAAGGGAAAAACAGACAGTTTAAATATGGCTCCCAATCAGAGACAACCAGCACAGCTGACACTCGTTGCCTCTGATTGGGAGTCACTCAGGCCAACATAGAAATAAACAAACTAGAACTCCCAACATAGAAATACAACACCTAGAATGAACACACCCTGGCTCAACATATAGAGTCCCAGAGCCAGGGTGTGACAGTACCCCCCCCCCCAAAGGCGCGGACTGCGACCGCGCCTCAACTAGAGCAAAACAGGGGAGGGCTGGGTGGGCATTCCTCCTCGGCGGCGGTTCTGGCTCCGGCCTTGCCCACCACCCTCCAATACTTCCCCCATAGCGCCCCTGGTCCGGTCTGGCCCCGCTGGCTGGAGCTGCAGTGGACGTAGCAGGAGCGGTTAGCTTCAGCTCCGTTGTGGAGCAGTTGAGCGGTACCTGATTAGGCACCGGTGACCCAGGCACAGGTTGTGCTGGACTGACGACGCGCACCCCTGGCTTGGTGCGTGGAGCCGGAACGGGCCGAACCGGGCTGACGACTCGCACCCCTGGCTTGGTGCATGGAGTAGGAACGGGCCGGACCGGGCTGACGATGCGCACCCCTGGCTTGGTGCGTGGAGCCGGAACGGACCGGACCGGGCTGACGACTCGCACCCCTGGCTTGGTGCGTGGAGTAGGAACGGGCCGGACCGGGCTGACGATGCGCACCCCTGGCTTGGTGCGTGGAGCAGGGACAGGCCGGACCGGGCTGGCGACGCACACCGTAGGCTTGGTGCGAGGAGCAGGGACAGGCCGGACCGGGCTGGCGACGCACACCGTAGGCTTGGTGCGAGAAGCAGGGACAGGCCGGACCGGGCTGGCGACGCACACCGTAGGCTTGGTGCGAGGAGCAGGGACAGGCCGGACCGGGCTGGCGACGCACACCGTAGGCTTGGTGCGTGGAGCAGGGACAGGCCAGACCGGGCTGGCGACGCACACCGTAGGCTTGGTGCGTGGAGCAGGGACAGGCCGGGCCGGGCTGTGGAGACGGATAGGAGACCTGGAATGAAGAGCTGCCACAACCCGTCCTGGCTGAATGCCTACCTTCACACACTCTGTGTGAGGCATCAGCACAGGACGTACAGGGCTGTGTACCCGTACTGGCATAACAGCACGTGACACTGGCGCAGCATATCCGGGACCGAGGAGAGGCACTGGAAGCCACGAGCGCTGAGCCGGCACACTCCGTCCTGGCTGCATGCCCACCTTCGCACAACTCGTGCGGGGTGCTCGCACAGGACGTACAGGACTATGCCGGACCACTCGTGGCACAGTACGCCGCTCCGCATACCGCGGAACCTGCCCCGTCCCATGCTGCCATGCCTGAGTACGGGAAGTTGGTTCCGCTCTCCATCCAGGCTCCGCCAACCTGCCTTCAGGCCCCCAAAACCCGGTGGCCTCCTCTCCTAATCTGGACACGCTGCTTGGTCCTTGTAAGGTGGGTTCTTCTGTCACGATCGTCGTAGGGAATAGACCAAGGCGCAGCGTGATGAACTAACATGTTTATTTATCTATAGTGATAAATACTGACAATGAACAAAACAACAAACGACTCGTAACGTCCTAGGTAACATAGACCAACACGGAACAAGAACCCACAAAAACAAAGGGAAAAACAGACAGTTTAAAGATGGCTCCCAATCAGAGACAACCAGCACAGCTGACACTCGTTGCCTCTGATTGGGAGTCACTCAGGCCAACATAGAAATAAACAAACTAGAACTCCCAACATAGAAATACAACACCTAGAATGAACACACCCTGGCTCAACATATAGAGTCCCAGAGCCAGGGTGTGACAGTAAGACAATTATGTCATAATCTAAGCTAAACTTCAACCAAGCAAAATATAAAACATTGTAGGAGAGGGCTTTCTTACACTAGTACATTATCTTTCTAAATGGCTTCCGTTGAGCCATTGAGCATTCTTTTTTTTCCTTCACATGGTGTAAAACATTCTTAAGGGAATCTTTAAACAGTTACAAATCATTTAAACAGTTACAAGGAGTACACTCTTTGGATGTACAAAGAGGACAATCATCACGTTGACACTGTCCACACTGCCAGGGTTCAGCATCGACCTCCTGCTTTTTCTAGCAATGGGGCGGTTATTGTTTGCTGGACTCCCGTCTTGAGCCTGCTGTTGGCTCAAGCTGGAGTGGCTGTTATTTAAGTCCCGCCGTGGGACTAAGCCACTTTTACCCTTTGGAAAATAGATTTCAGAACATTGTTAAGTGCAGCACATTTTGATAATGTAGCAGCCTTGCTGGAGTGAGGTGGGCAGTCCGTGCCTGTGAGATGAGAGCATGAACTGCGTGAGGAACTTTAAAGGTTAAAGGGCACATTGACACAATGTCAACACAGGTATGAAACCCTATACATTTTGTGCCAAAGCAGCAGAAAACACCACCGCCTATTCCGTATAACCTAATGGGCAAACGGTCCAAGTCCAGCACTTGTTTAAAAACGTAAACGCGAACCAGAGCTATGATTCTCGAGCGAAGGGAATGCTAAAGAAAGCATTAGCCAAATCAACAACTGACAACCATTTAGCCGATTCCGGCACGGCAGATAATACTGCAATGGGGTTTGGCACAACAGGAGCTCTTGCATAAACTGCATCGTTAACTGGTCAAAGATCTTGACCAAAACGCCAATCACCCAGGCTTTCCGGAAAGGAAGAATGGGAGTGTTGCATGGAGAGTCTGGACAAGGCACAATTGCTCCCTTTCTACAAATGCCTCCCTACTCAGAGGACACTGGGCTAGGCTGGGCCTGTGTGTGTGCTTTTAGGTGTGACAGTCAGCAATTACACCCCCCTCATTCGCCCAATGTCATACTTATCTTTAGCCCACAGGGAGTCTGGGAGACCAGCCAACAAGGGTGACTCAGTCTCAACAGAAACCATATGTTTAGTTGGTTTCACATCAAGGCCATGGACGCCTCGTTGAACAGGTTCATTCCAAAAGAATGGCACAGAATTTAGACCCATCCGCCCTGATTTCCAGGTCAGTAACCTGCAACACAGACTTCAGCCAAACTCCAATATCCTCCCAGGCAACGTCATCTGCCTTAGCTATCGAAACATGTGGCACCCTATCACTATCATCAAAGAGGTAAAACAAGGCCTATTCCTTAGTTATCTTTACGCTAAGGGCGCAGAACTGTGGCCCACTGTACATGTCACTGCATAGTAAGCTTCCTTGGTGTGTGGTTCCTATCAGCCAGTTCTGTTCATAATATAAATCTCTCAAAGTGTAAATCTCTCGTCAATGGTGAGAAATGGGCGGTGCAATGTAAGTCAGTCTGTGGCATAAAACTGCCTTTCTGTTTCTAACAACTGTGAGTTGAGAACATTTCCTCAATAGGGTCACAATGTGATTCGTCAATATCCTGTATGTCCCATGCATAGTACCAATCACACGTTTGGATAAAATAATATTAATTCCCAATTTACAGAGAAGATCTCTTCCTGCCAAATTTACAGGGCAACATGCAGAGGCAATAAATTCATGTTTTATGCATGTATTATCAATCTTAACAGGTAGGGGCATCGTGAGCAACTCTGTCATAGTCACTCCTGAGGCTCCAACAGTGCTGACTGATTCATTGGACATGGGAGATTTGGACATAGATTTAGAATTTATGACAGACATTGCAGCGCCAGTATCTACTAGAAATTCAATTGACTCACCATTGGCGAAGAGACTAACCATTGGCTCCTCACGGGGGCTTGAAAAAATCTTTAAATGTTGTCCAAGGGTGTCAACTGTCTCTACCTCGCGTCAGTCCATATGTGGGTTGTAAAGGGTCATTTCCGGAGGTGGTCTATTTTTCCAACCTCCCCCCATTGCCCCCTGTTCGGAACCTTGTGTTGTCTGTAATCCGTCAGCGCTGTCTCCTCTGCCTCCTCTACCCCTTCCTTTCCCTCTCTGTCCATCGTTTTGAGGTCCTCCCTGAGCCTGTCGGCCCTGTACTTGATAGAAGGCCAGCTGTGCCACTTGTAGTTTCAAACCCTCCTTTTCCAGTCTCTGTTTCGTCTTATCTTCTTGAGACAGTTGCTACCTCTCAGGGTGTTTACAGTGTTCAATGACCGTCTGTAGGGTAGTAGTTTCCCAGCCAATGCAGGTCGTCTTAATCAGTTTACCAAGGGCTGGCAAAAGTCCATTCATTAGGGCAGCCGTCTAGAGGCTGTTGTAGTCATCGCGGCAGACATCATTTGTTGGTTGAGGAATATGTGTGGTGTGAGAAACAGGTTCCTACTGCTCTGGGGCTCTGAGGGGTCTGTTGGTCCTGCTGGGGGTAGAGTCTCGGCTGGGGAGGTGGCTGAGCAGGCTGCTGTTGGACAACCAGGGCGGGTGCTGGTGCAGTGGATACAGGGGTATAATAGGGAGGTGGAAAATCATTTTAATCATCAAGTCTATTTTTTCTTCTTGCCTTTCATGGTTTCTTCAAAGTCCTGTAACTTCTTTCTACATTCTGCTAATAAAGCTTCACCCAATTTGCCTTTTAAGGGAAAATCTACTACCTTGTGGCAGAGCGGTACCTGTTCCAGAATGTCCTGCCCCACTTCTCCACCATTACCTTCACCGGTCCGGTCAGCGGGTCGGGCAGACAAGGTTCTCCCCTGCTGCTCTTGGCTCCCATTATGAAACTCCATCTATACATACACACACACACACACACTCAGAGACAAACAAAAACAAACACACAAAACAAACAGTATTTGGTTAGGAACGTCTTCCTTTCTTATAATTCAAAGGGAGTTTTTCTTCTTCATCAAAATATTTGTTAATTGCTCTATGTAATTTTTAATGTTGTACCCACATGGTAGTTCCCCCTATGCACATTTCTGTGTAGGTTTTAAATGTGTAGCTGGTTTCCCAATCATAACCAACTGTTTTACCAGTCCACTGATTAATTAATTTTATTTTACAATATTTTTCTAACCTGCAGGAATATTTTCTCAGGATTATGCCCTGGGATCACATAACCCGTAGATTTGCACCTTACGATACTAAACCATGTCATGTCATCCCATGGCCAATCCTCTGCTCTAACAGAGAAACTCAACCCCTGTCTTTGACCAGGATACTTCTGCTTCAACAAAAATATCCTAATCAGAGATGTCCCTCCTTCGAAAGAGACCCCTTCCCTGCTCCAACAGGGCAACTCCTCCCAGAATTGTTCCTTTAATTAAAGATGCAGAGCAGAATTAGGCCGATAACCACTATTTATAAAAATCCAGAAAAGAGCCATCAAATTCTACACCCACCTAAAAGGAAGCAATTCCCAAACCTTCTATTACAAAGCCATGACCTAAAGAGAGATGAACCTGGACAAAAGTCCCCTTAGCCCCAGGACAGCTGTGATTCGCCGGTCTACTGAGACACTGGTCTGAGCGCACCGCCTCGGCAACACCGGAATGGAAACCCAATGCACCCTAATCACCTCCAGTGCACCTGCACCTCATCATCTCATCACCACCCCTATTTAGCCCTGGACTGTTCTGGATGATGTTGTGTGTGATTGTTTACCTTCGTGTCGTTTACTCTAACTTTGTTATTTCTCTTGCTCATTGTTAAGTGAACCTTGACCTTGTTAATTCCTGCGTCTTCGTATACTCAGTCTGCCTCACAACAGCAACACAATTAGACCCAACCAAATCATGAGAAAACAAAAAGAGAATTACTTGACATATTGACAAAAAACAGAGCAAACTAGAATGCTATTTGGCCCTAAAGAGAGAGTACACAGTGGCAGAATATCTGACCACTGTGACTGACCCAAAATTAAGGAAAGCTTTGACTATGTACTGACTCAGAGAGCATAGCCTTGCTATTGAGAGAGGCCGCCGTAGGCAGACCTGTCTCGAGAAAACAGGCTATGTGCGCACTGCTCACAAAATGAAGTGGAAACTGAGTTGCACTTCCTAACCTCCTGCCAAATGTATGACCAAATTAGTGACACATGTTTCCCTCAGATTACACAGACCCACAAAGAATTAGAAAATAAATCCAATTTGGATAAACTCCCATATTTATTGGGTGGAATACCACAGTGTGCAATCACAGCAGCAATATTTGTGACCTGTTGCCACAAGAAAAGGGCAACCAGTGAAGAATAAACACCATTGTAAATACAACCCATATATGTTTCTTTATTTTCCCTTTTGTACTTTAACTATTTGCACATCGTTACAACACTGTATATAGCCATAATATGACATTTGAAATGTCTTTATTATTTTGGAACTTCTGAGTGTGTAACGTTTGCTGTTCATTTTTATATTGTTTATTTCACCTTTGTTTATTATCTATTTCACTGGTTTGGCAATGTAAAATATATATTTCCCATACCAATAAAGCCCTTAAATTGAATTGAAAGAGAGAATGGCATGAGAGAGGGAGGTGTGTGTGTCAGAGAGAGAGGAGTGACAAAGTGATTTTTTCCCCACACCCTTTCATCAACCCCCCTTAGTGAGAGAACAGCAGGTGCGAAGCAGTGATGGTTCCTCGTCATCCTCCCTCTCATCACCAACTCCACGCTGAGGAGAAAATCTGGGAATTCCCACATCTGGCAGTCTCTCTCCTCCTTCCCCTCGCCTGCTCTCTCTCTCACACACACAAAAAATCCCTCTCTGTCTAATACAAAAAATGACGTGTCACTTTCATAAGGTATAATGTCACACCCTCTCAGGCAATGGGGCATTCCTATCACTAGTATCTGTCACACCCATCAGGACAGGACAGCATTCTTTCATGTACTGACACCTGACGTAAAAATGGATTGGTCAAACTGAGAAACACATTATAATGGGCCAATGTAAGTGGGTATACTCTAGACCAGGGTTCTTCAATTCCTGTGCTGGAGGGCCGAAACACCTCTGTTTTTCATCCTCTCCTTCTAATCAGGGGCTAATTCAGACCTTGGACATTACATTTACATTTCAGTCATTTAGCAGACGCTCTTATCCAGAGCGATTTACAGGAGCAATTAGGGTTAAGTGCCTTGCACTTTTCGACAGATTTTTCACCTAGTCGGCTTGGGGATTAGAACCAGCGACCTTTCGGATACTGGCACAACACTCTTAACCACTAAGCTACCTGCCGCCCCTGGACACCAGGTGAGTGCAATTAACTACCAGGTAGAAATAAAAAACAGAAGTGTTTCGGCCATCCAGGACCGGAATTGAAGAACCCTGTTGTAGACTGACAGTGAACCTCAAACCGAAAGACACAAACATGGACGAGATTGCAAGTGAAAGTTTCATGATGGCTCGCTTTCCGTAAGTATATACATTTATCTTTCCTTTGATTCGTTTTTACAGAAAACCCCAGAGAAAATGACCATATTGGTCGAGACATCTTATCCGGGGGTTTTCAAAAAATGACAAATGGTTTTGTGTCATAACCGGATTATAGCTCCCGTACAAACGTTGTAATGAATATATTTTCATGTCATAGTCACCAGTCAACTCCATGACACTCAAAAGTTACTTCAACTTCAACCAGTGAATGCTAGCAATGGCTAGTTATGCTAGATATGCTACCAGTCTGTCTTAATGAGTGTTAGCATGCTAATAGCATACCATGTACACAATGGGTATGCAGTAGGTTGATAACGATGTGCAAAATATGTTGTATGAGACTGTCGTGTATTGGGATTATGTCTTTGTTAAATGTTTTTCCTGAAGAAATGGAATGTTGTTTATGTTAGGTCAAATGTAGCCGTTTGGAGGGTGACGCCCCAGGGGAGACTGGTGATTGGCCAGAAGAGGGAGCCACCCATCTTTTTGCATTGTTTATAAATAGGGGCTAGACAAAGAAAGGGCAGAGCAGCCATTAGAATTCGAGGACACTGCTCTCCAGACATCGCGGGTCTGTAACTTATGCTGTAACCTTGTGATATTAATAAAAGCCTCTAATCATGGTGCAGCCTAAGCGGACTCTTTGTTGACAGCAATAATTGCCAGCATTCACCCGATACGACAAATGGCGCCCAACGTGGGGCTGGTCTGCATCTCTCCTTTGCTCATTCGTAGCCGCCAAGCTAACTTCGGTCTGATGTCATGACCAGACAAGGGTGAGTGTTCCTCACAGCTAAGTTGTTGGTTTTGATACTGCGTGTGTACACTGGAGGGGTGTACCATACGACCGAAATGTGCCTCATGTGGCGTTATTGCGGTCGACTAGAGTCTGTAATAATATATTCCATTGGTAAACGGCAGGTAATTGGAATTTTAGAGCATAAAACGGTAGGAATTAAGTATTGAAGGTGTACAATTAAGCAGATATGCGCATTCATTAGGGCACTGTACCGCTTAAGACCCCGGGGGGGCCATTTAGAAAATGATGGACCGACAAATCCGCTTGCACGATAGAATGTGCAGTCGGTGGGTTTTAAAGAAAACTCGGTTTGATGGGGTTTATCTGATTGTGATTATGGCTCGACTTTCGTCCGACGGGGGGTTTGATTGGGTCTAATTTCTCGGTGAAATGGTCATTAATCCACGGTAGCACAAAACGGTAGGAAAATATGTCAAAATAAAAAGGGCAGTGCAGGATGTATGTTGCGTGGTGCAAGCCACAGGTTGGCTAAATGCTAATGCTAAATGCTGGGTTGTGTTTCAGGCTACATTGTACGCAAAGGCTAAGGCTAAATGCTAAATGCTAAAATGCTAATTGTGTTGCGTGCTACATGCTAACGGATATCCTTAGAGGGCCATTGCGATGGGATAAGCCTCTTAAACTTGTCTGTGTGTGTGTGTAATTCAGGTTATATGTTTTGTGAGCGCTGTTAAATGTTGTTTGACTATGAGGGGAAAACGGAGGTACAGTAGGACTGTTAACTGTTTAGGTTTGGGGAGAGAGTAGAAAATCGCCCGTCCACGGTGAAATTGTATTTCTGAATGTAATGCGCATGCGTGTGACGGTACTAAATTACAACACGTTTTTGCTAATGGGTCATATTTCTGTTGGGGGCTGCAGGAAGACACACCTGCATTACTAGCTGTTTGGGGTTTTAGGCTGGGTTTCTGTACAGCACTTCGAGATATTAGCTGATGTAAGAAGGGCTATATAAAATAAAATTGATTGATTGATTGAAACACACAGACAAAGAGATATTTGGACACGAGTATTCTAGTTGTAAAGCGGCGGTTGGTTAAAGATGAAACTTGTTTTGTGACCTATTGAATTGATAAATGAGAGAGATATGTTGACGGATTATAATAAATTGAATTAGAAGACGATTAAAATTAAATTAAATGTTTTTGAGCGATCAATAATTATTCCTGAGTTAATTCTTAGAGCAAATGTAGAACGAACGAATATTGAATGGTTGGAAATACTCAGTAATTGCATTAACTACTAAAATGTTATTCTGTGTCTTTGTTCTTCTGTCATATGAGAGGAACGATAAGCGAGAGGAGAGAGAGAGGAGATACAGGAAGTGCTGACGTGACATCATGTGACGCGACAGAGGATCAGATATCAGGCTAGTTCACAAAATCTTCCCCTAACAGGATATGTGATGTTATGACAATTTCACATAGGCTTGGCAAATACTGATTTGAATAAAATTTGCATTTTGGAGTCTCTGTGCATCACTGGGCTGGATTACAGTTCGGTTGGAAATCAGGTACTGACAGTATTCTGGAATTAAGATACTTGGGTGCATATTAAACAATGGAGTTTATGGGAATTGTAGTGTTGTAAGGTTAGAAGGCTTTGTTTTTGGGATTGCTTTGAAGTTGACTAACTTACATTTACTTTCCTGATGGATTGTGGTAAAAAAAATGTTTTATTTTTATTTTTTTGGAGTTGTTTAGTTATATTAATAATTAAAGGGGGGAAGCCATAGGCTATATAGTCTAAAATAAGATAATTCATAATAAAGGAATATAAAAGAGTAGTTACAATGGGGAGAAAGGACAGCAAGGCTATGAAAGTGATTACACCGGTTGATATAGTGCAAAATGGTAATCCTTTAACTAAAGTATTGCGAGGTTATCCGGCAAGTGAAACAAAAGTTGCCCTTCATTCTCAAACAAAAACTGATAAAAGATTCCAGCGATAAGATAAACAAAGCTATAGAGATAAGGCTAAGGGAAGTAGAGCTTAGAGATGTTTATCCTCAGCTTCCAGTGATCATCCAGGAGGGTGATTATTGCATCAGAGATGGAGATGAACGAATAATAGATAGAGGACAAGCAGAAACGACGATAAAGATGAATCCAAAACTCCAGAAGGAAGAAAATGAGATGTCTGGAAGAGAAGAGTGAGGTTAAAGAAGACGAGGATGATGAAGATGAGAGTGATTGAGAAGAGGTCATGGGTGGATATGACTCTGTGATCAGAAGGAAGTTGGCAAGAGAGGAAAGAAGAAGGATACTAGAGATTTGATCTCTGATGGAAGTTGAAGGAAGAAGGATACAAGAGATTCGAGTTCAGATGAAGACAGCGATAAAGAGGAGACTAGAGGTGCTGTGTATTCAAAATGAGTTTATCCTACAAGGACTGGCACAGAAGAAAAGGAAGAAGATGATGGAAGATGATATTTCGAGGACAGAACTTAGAATATAAGCTTTTGAAGAATCCTGATATGTCAACAGCAAGAAAGAACAGGATCAAGAAACTCTCAGAAAACTCAATCATACAAATGGTGGAGAAGAGAAGCTTTGGTTAGGAAGAATCAGAGTGAACCAAATCAACAATCACTGCTACAGCTTCAACTGAACAATATCAAATGCAATTGTACCAGCCAAGGGGGGTACCAGGTGTTTCATATCCACAGACAGTTTCTGGACAGACACAGAATTGGAGAGGAAGAGGACGAGAAGGCTTAGAAGAGGAGGAAGATTTCAGCTACACTTCCAGCAACTTTCAGAAGACTGTTATAATTATGGACAGGTTGGTCACTTTACCTGTGAGTGCAACAAGTCAGGAGGAAACAACAGAGAACATTTTTAAGGAAGATGAAGGAGCAAGTCAAGATCACCTGTTCTCCAGGTGAACCCTAAGGATTCTAGAGTGCCTAGAAGATACGAAGGGGGGTGTCAGCTGATAGCATCGATTAGAGAAGAAGAGAAAATATCCAACAATTGAAGTAAAAACAGGACTATGAGAAGTGATAGTGAATAGTGGAAAAACTTATCTGTGTTCAGCCTAAAGAGGTTAAACATCTCACTATGTAAAATCAACTAAGGATAGGGATTTGAGGTAGTAAAACAGCTACTCTTAAGGAACCAATTGAGCTCTGCTATAGAACTCAAAGAGAAATCAAAATAGACATACTAATATTAGTACCTATTGCATTGTTGGGAAGAGATGCATTGTTTAAATTGAATTGTACAATAAGATGTACACTAACGGCTGTCTGGTAGAAGATTTTAAAAAAGTAGGGTTTTTGGGAATCATATTGGCTTAAAAAGATAATATCATAGGAAGGATGATAATCTATTAGACTGCCTATTAGACAATCTGTCTGAAAAATAAAGTTAAAAGGGGTGACTGTTATTCTGGGTTACATTCTTACACCAAGGGATTTCAGGCTAGGCTAAAAGGTGTTTAGTCGTTTGCCAAGTCTGTGTGTAAAGAAGTCAGAAGCAGGTGGGGACTTTCCCAATCACATATCCTAAAAATTGGTGGTAAAGGGATTTTGTGAATAAATCAGTGGGAAAAGGTTTTTAAAGGTTAGGAGAAAAGATTAGATTAAAAAGTTAGGAGAACTAGGGTTGAAGGAATTCTAAGACAGTAAGCTAAGTTTCAAAGTTAGTAGTAAGAGAGAGAACAGTGGTGAAGGACATTTTAGAGTTTAGTGGGAAGATATGGTAGGAGTTTAGATCTGTTAGGAGCAGATGCATTGAGAAAGTATGTGTTGCTGAAAAATAAGAGAAGATTGAGGGTGATTGAGTATCTATATTTACAGTTCCAGCAGGGAGATCAAGGTAATTATAGGTGTATTTTTATAATCAAAAGTTTGAGAGGTAGGACTGAGAGTTGGGAAAAAGTGACACTAGTGGTGATAGATGGAAGTACAAGCAAAGACTTCAAATCTTTGGGGAAAATTGATGAAGTAACTAAGGACATTAACACTTCAGTCTATTAAAACAACAGTGGGAAGCAATTTAACTCTTTCAACATTGATAGTTATTAAAGCCATAAATATATCGCATTTGATTATAAGGGAGCCAATGGCTCCAGCACCAATTTTAGAGGAAAAAGACGTATTAGGGTTAGGATGGGGACGTTCCTCCCACATGGAGAGATAATTATGGAGAAGAAGTATTGTTATCAGGACCAGAAGTAGAAGCAAGCTGTTGCATCTAATCAAAGGAGGTATAGTTTGTACAACAATATGAAGTGGAAGAGGGTTATGAGTGATTGTTCATTCATTTTGCATAATGTTACAGAGAAAGATCAGGGAGAATATACTTATCTAGTGCAAGCATTAAAATTTGTTCCGGTTAAGAATGATTGGTTAAAGGGCTATGTAATTCGTAAAGTGACGCTTATAATGGAAGATTTGAAGTCTGTTGAAGCTTCCACAGTCACCGAGGGAGTTCAGGAGAAGTAGATAGATTACAGTAGTCACTCCAACAGTAAATAATGCACATAGGATATCGGTAGCTTTCCTACTATAAATAATTAAGGTTGATACATCAACTAGATCAACTACTTTAATGGTAACTTTGGAAGAGATTAATGATACGATGGCAATAGCAAATGTAGGAAGTATGACACCGACAACAACTTTTCTGAAATTAAAGGGGGTAGCAAGAAGGACTCAGGGGTTTATGTTACGGATGGAGAGTGCTGTCAATGATAGTACGAATAGGGTTAAAATAGGAGAACAGATAGTAGTAGAGAGAATATAGATTCATCATGGAGGTACAGGATGAGGTCTTTGATTTTGATGACAGACAAGGAGAGGTATCTGCAGTACCGCTCGTTAGGGAAGAGAGAAACTAAATGCATGTAGTTTGATTCTTCTGTTGTGGAAATTAGAGATAGATGGCCAGGTAGGAATCTTTGGTTCCAGCGGTTAACTCATTCTGTAAGATCAGGGAGGAATCTTGAGGGTCCATGTCTGTTGAGAATTCCAGACAAACATGTTAGAGACGGTCGCTCGACCTCTATCAAGTATGTGTCAATCTTATGCTTTGTCATGACTGTGGTATCAGCAACAATCAGTAACCGATAAAATAATGTCGTTGTCAAAACATTTGTTTAAGCCTAGGGTTAGGTGGTATTGGGTTAAGTGAATTAACTTGTGTGCATTTGTTAGATGGGAAGGAAACTCAGGTAACAGCAAACCCTGGAGCATTTGAGGTGAAACCATTGAGGGCTAAAAGTTGTTTGGTTCTAATAAAACATATGATGTAAGGGGTATGTTTATGGGAATATCAGATTGTGATGATTATATGATGACTTTGGATAAGCATGAACATAAGGTTAGAGATGACAAATAATATGTTACTTTTTATGTACCAGTTAGTAAGAAGAGCAGGACTTTGATGGTTAAAATATTAGCTTTTGCCTGACAATGTGACTATGGGGAATTTTAGAGCTATTTTGAGGGTTTGTGGTGATAAAGCATATATATTCTTACCCTATGGATGGACAGGATGTTGTTACATGTCAACGTTGAAGCTTCCATATGAGGTTTCTACCATTAAAAGAGGGGTACCACCGGACACAGATAAATCTAGGGTTGGAAATAGGATGAAAAGAGACATGGAGACATGTCATAGTCTTCAAGCCTATCATTGAAGGATAAATCTAAGGGAGAAGGGGGGACTTTTTCCATGGTATGGTGTAACATTTGGGAAGATCATATTGATAATATTAGTTATACTTTGAGTCCAGATAGTTCAGATATTATCACTAGGGTTATATATGCATTGAAGAATATAAGGGATGCATTTGGTAGATCTGAAGGAGCGGAAGTCAGCGAAGACTTGGTCGCAAGATCAGGTAGGCCCAGTAGGGGCAGTGATGGTTCAGATTTTAATGGCAACTTTGATAGCACTGTGTGTGATGTTTGTAATTTGTTACTGACCTTTGAGAAAGCTATGATATTGAGATAGGTTGGAGAGTGATGCCTGGAGACAACACTCAGATGCCGGTGTTGACTGTTCCTGATCTGGATGAAGATGGACAAGTGGAACTGAATGGATAAATATCATTTTTGATGATTTGATCATTTTTCAAATTATTATTTTTTTGTTCAATATTAGGGTGATTTTGGTATGATTTTATGAATCAAAGGGGGGAAGTGTATGAATGAATAATTATCCTAGTTCATTATTCTATTATTTAATGTGATTCATACATCATTTATATATCATTTCTATATTCTTAGTTGATATTGATGTTCAATTTGAAAGTGTTGTTTTGCAAAATATACTGTTTGGTCTTTTCTTTTCTTTCAGAAGCATTTGGGGTAACATGTGGAGATTGAAATACTCAAACAAGGACAATATGAAGGGACAATGACTGGAGGAGATGAAACAAAGAAGGTGTGGAGAGATTCCGATTCCATCATCAACAATGCATTGGAAGAGGAGACTACGGGGAGATGAAGTGTAGTGGACTACATTCCAGTGTCTGCAATGAAATATAGACATATTTGCATGTGTAATACATAATTGTGTCATATTCTTAGGTATTAATTTTTGTAGAATGATGTTTGATGTTATTGAATACATGTGAGGATCTTAGATGTTTTTGTTTATTTCGTGAATGCTTAGGGACAGGGAGTCTAGGCAGGGAGAGGTCCACTGTAGGGTCCAATGGGTTGACCAGCCTTAGAGTGGATATTTTTTGGATAGGATTTTGTTTGCAGGGGCTTACATGTGTATTTAATTGCATCATAGTTTCAAATGCATTTACATTGTTTATGAGTTTATCTGGAGTACCGAGGTGGTTGCCTGGGGCAGAGGGACCGTGAGAGAATTTTACTGTCTTGATTGATGGATGGATTTGGAACGAAGGTTGCCAGACAGTTTTTCGCTCTTACACTCCATAAAGATTTGTTCATACTTCATAGTAATGTATTCACACTTCATAAACAGTTATTCATATTTCATAGAAAGGTATTTACACTCTAGAGAAGAATGTTTTTGGTTTAATGTTAAAGATACTCAATAAGATAAATTGTTACTAGTCATAATCCTATTCTGTTTGTTTTCGAGACTGTTTAGTCTCGAAGGGGGGAAATGTCGTGTATTGGGATGATGTCTTTGTTAAATGTTTTTCCTGAAGAAATGGAATGTTGTTTATGTTAGGTCAAATGTAGCCGTTTGGAGGGTGACGCCCCAGGGGAGACTGGTGATTGGCCAGAAGAGGGAGCCACCCATCTTTTTGCATTGTTTATAAATAGGGGCTGGACAAAGAAAGGGCAGAGCAGCCATTAGAATTCGAGGACACTGCTCTCCAGACATCGCGGGTCTGTAACTTATGCTGTAACCTTGTGATATTAATAAAAGCCTCTAATCATGGTGCAGCCTAAGCGGACTCTTTGTTGACAGCAATAATTGCCAGCATTCACCCGATACGACAAGACATTTCAAAGAACATTCCCAACTAATGAGAAAACAGTAATGATATTTTGTTTAAGAGAATGAATGTGATTGAACAGGTCAACATTTTTACTTCTGCGCTACAGTGACCATAGAAGGAACCCTCATGCTGGATGTCCTGCAGCATCTGAAATCATAAAGATTGTGGTTATGACCAATCCTAAAATGACAAAGATAGATGTTCTGAATACGTCATGTGTGTTCCTTGTATTTCTGAAAAATGTTTTACTAGATCAAATGTGTGTATGGCGGCACCTGCTGTAGTTTGAGTACTGACTCCACTGGTGTTATCTTGAAAGTGGAAAAGATCTCTGAGTGACGCAGCAGTTTGGGGCACTGCCGCCATCTTAGTGTCATGAGTGTCAGTGTAATGCGGTGGATAGAAGTCAGGCGCAGGACACAGAACTCTAAGAAACGTACTTTACTAAAATAAGTAAAGAACACAACACAGAATACCTCCACACAGGGAGGAACTAACCCGCTCACCAATGACACACGTAACAACAAACAATAACACACAAAATACCAAATGAGAGACAGGGGTAAATATAGGGAATACAATCAAATATAACGGGGAACAGGTGTAAACAATAAGGCTAAACTAGACAAACACCGAAACATCGATCGGCAGCAGCTAGTACTCCGGGGACGACGAACGCCGAAGCCTGCCCGAGCAAGGAGGAGGAGCAGCCTCGGCTGAATCCGTGACACTTAGTAGCACTTAAATTACAGCACAGCATAAAGTGGTGATAACATGGTAACACATGGTTACTCACCATCAAAATAATGTATTTATTGTAAGTAACAATAAATTGTTACTATACTATTACCATGTTATTACTGTAATGTAAAGTGCTACCAAGATCGCTGTAGAGCCACACATGTAAAGTGCTACAACCATCTTTATAAGCCACAGATTATGCATTTTAAACTATTGCCACATAGTTCTTTGTTATGACAGTATAAATTAAGGACTTATTACATATACAACTTTTCTTTATAGAGGAAAAAAACAGAAACCTACTTAGCCAGGAGGGGGGCACTGTGTGTTTGTAAGTGAGTTACATTTGTAATAATGATACATTTGTTTCTATTTCTCCTTCATGCTTCTCTACAGTAAAAAGAGGCTCCTGTCTGAAGTGCATGATGTGAACTCTCCCACCACAGACGGTTCTTCTGATAGTTGCCATCCTGAGGAGGACGTGGCTGCTATATCAACCAGATCCCGCAGTGAGGGGAAGGAGATCCACCAACGGTATGCCCAATTTGCGCCCTCCCACATTGGGAACAGACAATAGTGGCAGTCTTGTCAGATTTGAATTCAGTTGATGAATTATCTAAGCAGGAAGTCACCACACTGTGTGTGTTGATGTCATGTTGATAAATCTACCTGGTTGCAACTCAACTCTAAGTTTACCTTGAGTTCAATTGCAATGAATTTTAAAACCAATGAACACCATAGAGGTGTTTTTTTAACCTGTTCTTGAGTACAGAAAGTTTTACGAAAATAAACTCTGTTATAAAAACTAAATATTTACAAGTTGTATTTGAACACATCTAAAAGCATTTAAAACTCACTAAAATTGTTTTCAACAACTAATAGTTTGTGACATTGATGGTGAATAACATCATTCTATTTGTCCGTGTTTCTCTACAGTAAGAAGAGGCACCTACCGCTGTCTAATGAGGAAGGGGATCATGGGTACTGTGAGGATGATGTGAACCTTCCCACCGACACAGACAGTTCTTGTAACGGAGGGCCTCCTGAGGAGGACGTGGTTGCTACATCAACCAGATCCCAGAGTGAGGGGAATGAGATCCACCAACGGTATGTCCAACATTTTCACAATATGCTTATGGGCATCAGGAGACAGAAAGCAATATATTTTGAAGTCTTGAATACTGACATGCACAATTTGACACTGTACCAACAGTGGACTAATGTTAAACATGGTAGTCCTACTGTTTTACACTTCATGTGTAAGTCCAGAGTTCATAGTTATTTTCTGAATCTTTGCTAGAAGATGTTACTACAGTGGGGAAAAAAAGTATTTAGTCAGCCACCAATTGTGCAAGTTCTCCCACTTAAAAAGATGAGAGAGGCCTGTAATTTTCATCATAGGTACACGTCAACTATGACAGACAAAATGAGAAAAAAAATCCAGAAATTCACATTGTAGGATTTTTAATGAATTTATTTGCAAATTATGGTGAAAAATAAGTATTTGGTCAATAACAAAAGTTTCTCAATACTTTGTTATATACCCTTTGTTGGCAATGACACAGGTCAAACGTTTTCTGTAAGTCTTCACAAGGTTTTCACACACTGTTGCTGGTATTTTGGCCCATTCCTCCATGCAGATCTCCTCTAGAGCAATGATGTTTTGGGGCTGTCGCTGGGCAACACGGACTTTCAACTCCCTCCAAAGATTTTCTATGGGGTTGAGATCTGGAGACTGGCTAGGCCACTCCAGGACCTTGAAATGCTTCTTACGAAGCCACTCCTTCGTTGCCCGGGCGGTGTGTTTGGGATCATTGTCATGCTAAAAGACCCAGCCACGTTTCATCTTCAATGCCCTTGCTGATGGAAGGAAGTTTTCACTCAAAATTTCACGATACATGACCCCATTCCTTCTTTCCTTTACACGGATCAGTCGTCCTGGTCCCTTTGCAGAAAAACAGCCCCAAAGCATGATGTTTCCACCCCCATGCTTCACAGTAGGTATGGTGTTCTTTGGATGCAACTCAGCATTCTTTGTCCTCCAAACACGACGAGTTGAGTTTTTACCAAAAAGTTCTATTTTGGTTTCATCTGACCATATGACATTCTCCCAATCCTCTTCTGGATCATCCAAATGCACTCTAGCAAACTTCAGACGGGCCTGGACATGTACTGGCTTAAGCAGGGGGACACGTCTGGCACTGCAGGATTTGAGTCCCTGGCGGCGTAGTGTGTTACTGATGGTAGGCTTTGTTACTTTGGTCCCAGCTCTCTGCAGGTCATTCACTAGGTCCCCCCGTGTGGTTCTGGGATTTTTGCTCACCGTTCTTGTGATCATTTTGACCCCACGAGGTGAGATCTTGCGTGGAGCCCCAGATCGAGTGAGATTATCAGTGGTCTTGTATGTCTTCCATTTCCTAATAATTGCTCCCACAGTTGATTTCTTCAAACCAAGCTGCTTACCTATTGCAGATTCAGTCTTCCCAGCCTGGTGCAGGTCTACAATGTTGTTTCTGGTGTCCTTTGACAGCTCTTTGGTCTTGGCCATAGTGGAGTTTGGAGTGTGACTGTTTGAAGTTGTGGACAGGTGTCTTTTATACTGATAACAAGTTCAAACAGGTGCCATTAATACAGGTAACGAGTGGAGGACAGAGGAGCCTCTTAAAGAAGAAGTTACAGGTCTGTGAGAGCCAGAAATCTTGCTTGTTTGTAGGTGACCAAATACTTATTTTCCACCATAATTTGCAAATAAATTCATAAAAAATCCTACAATGTGATTTTCTGGAAAAAAAAATCTAATTTTGTCTGTCATAGTTGACGTGTACCTATGATGACAATTACAGGCCTCTCTCATCTTTTTAAGTGGGAGAACTTGCACAATTGGTGGCTGACTAAATACTTTTTTTCCCCACTGTATCTTTAGCTCTCTTTCACCCCTCACTAACAGGCTACAAATTGCTCATCTAATTTAGCTATTTTGATTCCCCTTACAGAGAGAGCCCCAGTCCTACTATCATCAACGCTCCAGACCAGCCAACGGACCCCCAAAATCAAGTTGATTTTGATTTACGTTATACATTTGACATTTTACAAAAAAAAGTTTGCATTCAAAAAATGAATAAGAAATATACATGGCCATTCTTAAATCCAACTGGTGTTCTGTATGTTGCAATTTTGGAACTTGAGAATATGAAAAACAAACCTCTAATAGTTATTAGTTATACCAAAGACTTTCTTTTTGAGAAATATAATAAAAAAAAACAAAAAAAAAACATATCCATCTATTTGCTCAACTCTCCTTCTCAATATACAGGTCATAAAATAAAGTATGCGGTAGAACTAGACACGTATCAAATAACTATCGTTCCAGACTGGCCAATGGAAAACCAAAACATCCCAAGTCCTTTTGAAAACATTAGAGAATGTATTGATAAGTTCTACTCATCAGTAAATGCAGATTGCAAGCAAAAGTTTGATACGCAACATGCATGGGCATTTATAAAGTCACCTTGTGGTGGAGAACCTGTATTTGTTGGATTATTTAAATTAGAAGATGGGAGGAAGAAGAATGATAAGGGCACATGTTTTATTATTCATACTGAAGAGTTACTTCTTGAGGAAGTCAAAAAAATATTGAAAAAATATGAGAAATTGCGAAATAATAATTTGTTTATCTATACGTACAACTCTCCATGTTTGCTAAATATAGGTCATGAGTCATGCATGAATTTACTGTTTAAGGTTTCAGCAGAACTGAACAGATCTTATGGTATAACAACTATTGTTGGATACAGCAAATGGTACGGTTTGACTGGAGATTTGAAAACCTTTAAGAATACACATAGTCCCTCATTCAGTCACTTTAATTATATAATCAGTAGTTGTAATTATGCAGACTATTGTGATACATTTGTCATTTTGAATGAGAATTCTAAAGATGTAAAACTTCCCAATTAACTTTATGATTTTATTAAACAATTTCTGCCCAATAACATTTCAGAAGTACCTTTCAGATTGCTAAAATATAACGACGTCTATAAACATGTGGAAAATAAATTCATGTCAATTAGCAATTATCATAATAAAACAAATGTGAAAACCGATAAGAAAAAAGATAAGAAAAGTCTTGACCTAACTTTTTCCATACCCTATTTTGGAACTCTTAATCAATTTCTAAGACTTTCGGAGTGTCTAGCTGAAAAATTTGATTTGGTAAAACACATTGGTAATGATTTAGATTGATCTAAAGTAAAGTTCATAGAATGGTGGACTAAAACAATGGAAGACCAATTGGCTACTTTTCTTAAACAAGCCATTGATAGAGGTCCTAGTGAAGATATTAATAGAATCACAGTCCTCAATCACATCAGGAGGAACCCTGTAGAATATTTACAGTTTTGTCACTTACCACTAAACACTTTCCACAGCCTATTGAATAACTACATGTGAATACATGCTGTGTATTCATTTATTGAGGTTGTGAGCTAAAGATTATTCAAATATACAGTTGAAGTCGGAAGTTTACATACACCTTAACCAAATACATTCAAACTCAGTTTTTCACAATTCCTGACATTTAATCCTAGTAAAAATTCCCTGTTTTAGGTCAGTTAGGATCACCACTTTATTTTAAGAATGTGAAATGTCAGAACAATAGTAGAGAGAGTGATTTATTTCAGCTTTTATTTATTTCATCACATTCCCAGTGTGTTAGAAGTTTACATACACTCAATAGTATTTGGTAGCATTGCCTTTAAATTGTTTAACTTGGGTCAAACGTTTTGGGTAGCCTTCCACAAGCTTCCCACAATAAGTTGGGTGAATTTTGGCCCATTCCTCCTGACAGAGCTGTAGGTGGGAGAGAGTATAAGGACAAGCCATGTGTTATTTATGTCACTGGTGGGTGACAGAAGGTCTGTGTGCCAAGATAGATTGGGGGCCACTTGTGCTAATCTTAGAAGGGGTGTGTGATGGAATAGCCTGGCTAGGGTGCCACACATGTAGGGGGATCCTATTGTAGGAGAGGAGTGACACTCAATAATGGTTGGCAACTGTTGGATCGAAGTAGCTCGGAAAAGCATTACATAAACTGAGATATTTTCTATGTAAGTAATTCGGATGACAATAGGCTTCGCCCGTACCACTTGTCATACAAATCCAGTACTGTAACTATTAAATAACTATGAATCAACTCTCCATATAAAGTGTTCAACTATTCTCTTACATCCTGAAGTACTCAATACCAGAGAAACTCGTCATAACACCCTCTAATCAAGGACTAATTTAGACCTGGGACAGCAGTTATGTGTAATTAACTATCAGGTAGAACAGTAAACCAGTAGAATCCAGACATTGTAGGGTCAGAGTTGAGTACCCCTGCCTTAGAAGGCCAGAACCAGCTCCAAACAGGACTCCTTAATAAATCTCCATATTTACTTCACAAACACTAATTATACTAGTTAACTACACATAGCACAGACACTCACTCCTCAGTGGTTGGGAATGGGTATGGGAGCTGGACACGCAGCGACCCAGACCCTCTGCTGTGGGAGATCACACCTACTGACTCAAGGTGGTGGGAATGGGTATGGGGGCTGGACATGATAATGATGTCTCCACTCCCCCTATGGTGAATTGCTGTACTGTAAACTTGTGCTTTAATAAAAAAAGTTAATTCCTCATTTGTACTGTATGTGCATTCTTTTTTTATACTCGTCATTTCTATCATTGTATTGATTTATAAATACTATTGGTCCTCTGAAGCGGGGCTGGTGGGGGGAAAAACAATAATTATTATGTAATCACTGCCATTTTTTTCAAGTAGAAAGTAGCAGTCAAGCTTCAGTAAGTTCTAGAAATAGTGTTTTGCTTCTTTTTGACCATTTTAATGGAAAACTATGACACTTCTGCATTTACTTAATTGTTACCAAGAAAGTATTTGAAAAGCTATTGAAATAAAAACAGCTGCATTGGGCCTAGAATAGAATTTAACTTAAGAATTATTAGTTATTAGTTATTGGCAATAAGGTAATAGATAATTGAAAACGCATGATAGATAAACATTTGTTTTCTTTATTAGTAGCATTGGTATTGGTACAGGGCTGTCATTCAGTCCATGTTAAATACCATTATCTCAGCACAGAAACGTCATCCTTTATAACTAATCACACAAGCCTTTGCTTTGGCTCTTCCTTCTGTCCAGCTCAGGTGTTCAATGTTGCCGGCCTTCTAGCTGCTGCCAAACCTGCTGCTGGCAAACGCCCTTCACTCATCAACCCCGGACTTGTCTTGTCATCATTACACACACCTGGTTCCAATCCCCACTCTATCACTGTAAATATACTCCCTTTGTCATTTGTCTTTGTTGGTCATTGTATATGTTGCTTTTTTTCCTGAATCTCCTACTATTTCCTGAGTACTTTATATTTTGCACTGTGGGTTTCCTCCTGCTTAAAGCTATGGTGCTTTAATAAATTCAGTAGTTCTAAACCTGCAACTGCCTCCTGCCTACTCCTCTCTACACTTGTGACAATAACATTGGAGTATTAATAGTTAGCATAAAATATATTAATGCAGAATGTTCTCTCACAATGATAGTTCCTGTACATAATAATACTGATTCCAAACACACACAAAAATAAAACATTTAAAAAATAATAACTTGTTAAAATAATGGCAAGTAATGTTGTCATGACAGCAAGAATGTATTGACAGTGTGCCATCTTTTCTTCAGTGCATACTGTAGCAGAACAGAATAGAGAAAATGAAACAATGGAATTGCCTTGTTGCCGTGGATAAGGTAACTAGCCTGATAGTAAGGGAAGAACAGACCAGTGTAAAAGACAGGTTGGGACTACATGACTTCTGTTTGGTAGTAACCCAACACATAATGTCAGAATACCTGGCTGAGGAAATCCCCTTCTCTACTGAGCAATGTCCTACAGGACTGGGACAAGGAAATCAACTGTTATTGGATTATCACTGACCAATTAAAATGCCTCTTCTTGAGAAAGAGAGATAGAAGAGAGCGAGAAATTCAGAAGAGATTAAAAACACAAGGGTTCGTCAATTCCTGTCCTGGAGGGCCGAAACACCTGTTTTTCATCCTCTCCTTCTAATCAGGGGCTAATTCAGACCTTGGACATTACATTTACATTTCAGTCATTTAGCAGACGCTCTTATCCAGAGCGATTTACCGGAGCAATTAGGGTTAAGTGCCTTGCTCAAGGGCAAGGCACTTTTCGACAGATTTTTCACCTAGTCGGCTTGGGGATTAGAACCAGCGACCTTTCGGATACTGGCACAACGCTCTTAACCACTAAGCTACCTGCCGCCCCTGGACACCAGCTGAGTGCAATTAACTACCAGGTAGAAATAAAAAACAGAAGTGTTTCGGCCATCCAGGACCGGAATTGAAGAACCCTGTTGTAGACTGACAGTGAACCTCAAACCGAAAGACACAAACATGGACGAGATTGCAAGTGAAAGTTTCGTGATGGCTTGCTTTCCGTAAGTATATACATTTATCTTTCCTTTGATTCCTTTTTACAGAAAACCCCAGAGAAAATGACCATATTGGTCGAGACATCTTATCCGGGGGTTTAAAAAAAATGACAAATGGTTTTGTGTCATAACCGGATTATAGCTCCCGTACAAACGTTGTAATTAATATATTTTCATGTCATAGTCACCAGTCAACTCCATGACACTCAAAAGTTACTTCAACTTCAACCAGTGAATGCTAGCAATGGCTAGTTATGCTAGATATGCTACCAGTCTGTCTTAATGAGTGTTAGCATGCTAATAGCATACCATGTACACAATGGGTACGCAGTAGGTTGATAACGATGTGCAAAATATGTTGTATGAAACATTTCAAAGAACATTCCCAACTAATGAGAAAACAGTAATGATATTTTGTTTAAGAGAATGAATGTGATTGAACAGGTCAAACTTGGGCAGATTTTTACTTCTGCGCTACAGTGACCATAGAAGGAACCCTCATGCTGGATGTCCTACAGCATCTGATATCATAAATATTGTGATTATGACCAATCCTAAAATGACAAAGATAGATGTTCTGAATACGTCATGTGTGTTCCTTGTATTTCTGAAAAATGTTTTACTAGATCAAATGTGTGTATGGCGGCACCTGCTGTAGTTTGAGTACTGACTCCACTGGTGTTATCTTGAAAGTGGAAAAGATCTCTGAGTGACGCAGCAGTTTGGGGCACTGCCGCCATCTTAGTGTCACGAGTGTCAGTGTAATGCGGTGGATAGAAGTCAGGCGCAGGACACAGAACTCTAAGAAACGTACTTTACTAAAATAAGTAAAGAACACAACACAGAATACCTCCACACAGGGAGGAACTAACCCGCTCACCAATGACACACGTAACAACAAATAATAACACAAAAAATACCAAATGAGAGACAGGGGTAAATATAGGGAATACAATCAAATATAACGGGGAACAGGTGTAAACAATAAGGCTAAACTAGACAAACACCGAAACATCGATCGGCAGCAGCTAGTACTCCGGGGACGACGAACGCCGAAGCCTGCCCGAGCAAGGAGGAGGAGCAGCCTCGGCTGAATCCGTGACACTTAGTAGCACTTAAATTACAGCACAGCATAAAGTGGTGATAACATGGTAACACATGGTTACTCACCATCAAAATAATGTATTTATTGTAAGTAACAATAAATTGTTAATATACTATTACCATGTTATTACTGTAATGTAAAGTGCTACCAAGATCGCTGTAGAGCCACACATGTAAAGTGCTACAACCATCTTTATAAGACACAGATTATGCATTTTAAACTATTGCCACATAGTTCTTTGTTATGACAGTATAAATTAAGGACTTATTACATATACAACTTTTCTTTATAGAGGAAAAAAACAGAAACCTATTTAGCCAGGAGGGGGGCACTGTGTGTTTGTAAGTGAGTTACATTTGTAATAATGATACATTTGTTTCTATTTCTCCTTCATGCTCCTCTACAGTAAAAAGAGGATCCTGTCTGAAGTGCATGATGTGAACTCTCCCACCACAGACGGTTCTTCTGATAGTTGCCATCCTGAGGAGGACGTGGCTGCTATATCAACCAGATCCCGCAGTGAGGGGAAGGAGATCCACCAACGGTATGCCCAATTTGCGCCCTCCCACATTGGGAACAGACAATAGTGGCAGTCTTGTCAGATTTGAATTCAGTTGATGAATTATCTAAGCAGGAAGTTACCACACTGTGTGTGTTGATGTCATGCTGCTAAATCTACCTGGTTGCAACTCAACTCTAAGTTTACCTTGAGTTCAATTGCAATGAATTTTAAAACCAATGAACACCATAGAGGTGTTTTTTTTAACCTGTTCTTGAGTACAGAAAGTTTTACGAAAATAAACTCTGTTATAAAAACTAAATATTTACAAGTTGTATTTGAACACATCTAAAAGCATTTAAAACTCACAAAAATTGTTTTCAACAACTAATAGTTTGTGACATTGATGGTGAATAACATCATTCTATTTGTCCGTGTTTCTCTACAGTAAGAAGAGGCACCTACCGCTGTCTAATGAGGAAGGGGATCATGGGTACTGTGAGGATGATGTGAACCTTCCCACCGACACAGACAGTTCTTGTAACAGAGGGCCTCCTGAGGAGGACGTGGTTGCTACATCAACCAGATCCCAGAGTGAGGGGAATGAGATCCACCAACGGTATGTCCAACATTTTCACAATATGCTTATGGGCATCAGGAGACAGAAAGCAATATATTTTGAAGTCTTGAATACTGACATGCACAATTTGACACTGTACCAACAGTGGACTAATGTTAAACATGGTAGTCCTACTGTTTTACACTTCATGTGTAAGTCCAGAGTTCATAGTTATTTTCTGAATCTTTGCTAGAAGATGTTACTACAGTGGGGAAAAAAAGTATTTAGTCAGCCACCAATTGTGCATGTTCTCCCACTTAAAAAGATGAGAGAGGCCTGTAATTTTCATCATAGGTACACGTCAACTATGACAGACAAAATGAGAAAAAAAATCCAGAAATTCACATTGTAGGATTTTTAATGAATTTATTTGCAAATTATGGTGGAAAATAAGTATTTGGTCAATAACAAAAGTTTCTCAATACTTTGTTATATACCCTTTGTTGGCAATGACACAGGTCAAACGTTTTCTGTAAGTCTTCACAAGGTTTTCACACACTGTTGCTGGTATTTTGGCCCATTCCTCCATGCAGATCTCCTCTAGAGCAATGATGTTTTGGGGCTGTCGCTGGGCAACACGGACTTTCAACTCCCTCCAAAGATTTTCTATGGGGTTGAGATCTGGAGACTGGCTAGGCCACTCCAGGACCTTGAAATGCTTCTTACGAAGCCACTCCTTCGTTGCCCAGGCGGTGTGTTTGGGATCATTGTCATGCTAAAAGACCCAGCCACGTTTCATCTTCAATGCCCTTGCTGATGGAAGGAAGTTTTCACTCAAAATTTCACGATACATGACCCCATTCCTTCTTTCCTTTACACGGATCAGTCGTCCTGGTCCCTTTGCAGAAAAACAGCCCCAAAGCATGATGTTTCCACCCCCATGCTTCACAGTAGGTATGGTGTTCTTTGGATGCAACTCAGCATTCTTTGTCCTCCAAACACGACGAGTTGAGTTTTTACCAAAAAGTTCTATTTTGGTTTCATCTGACCATATGACATTCTCCCAATCCTCTTCTGGATCATCCAAATGCACTCTAGCAAACTTCAGACGGGCCTGGACATGTACTGGCTTATGCATGGGGACACGTCTGGCACTGCAGGATTTGAGTCCCTGGCGGCGTAGTGTGTTACTGATGGTAGGCTTTGTTACTTTGGTCCCAGCTCTCTGCAGGTCATTCACTAGGTCCCCCCGTGTGGTTCTGGGATTTTTGCTCACCGTTCTTGTGATCATTTTGACCCCACGGGGTGAGATCTTGCGTGGAGCCCCAGATCGAGTGAGATTATCAGTGGTCTTGTATGTCTTCCATTTCCTAATAATTGCTCCCACAGTTGATTTCTTCAAACCAAGCTGCTTACCTATTGCAGATTCAGTCTTCCCAGCCTGGTGCAGGTCTACAATGTTGTTTCTGGTGTCCTTTGACAGCTCTTTGGTCTTGGCCATAGTGGAGTTTGGAGTGTGACTGTTTGAGGTTGTGGACAGGTGTCTTTTATACTGATAACAAGTTCAAACAGTTGCCATTAATACAGGTAACGAGTGGAGGACAGAGGAGCCTCTTAAAGAAGAAGTTACAGTTCTGTGAGAGCCAGAAATCTTGCTTGTTTGTAGGTGACTAAATACTTATTTTCCACCATAATTTGCAAATAAATTCATAAAAAATCCTACAATGTGATTTTCTGGAAAAAAAATTCTAATTTTGTCTGTCATAGTTGACGTGTACCTATGATGACAATTACAGGCCTCTCTCATCTTTTTAAGTGGGAGAACTTGCACAATTGGTGGCTGACTAAATACTTTTTTTCCCCACTGTATCTTTAGCTCTCTTTCACCCCTCACTAACAGGCTACAAATTGCTCATCTAATTTAGCTATTTTGATTCCCCTTACAGAGAGAGCCCCAGTCCTATTATCATCAACGCTCCAGACCAGCCAACGGACCCCCAAAATCAAGTTGATTTTGATTTACGTGAAACATTTTGCATTTTACAAAAAAAAGTTTGCATTCAAAAAATGAATAAGAAATATACATGGCCATTCTTAAATCCAACTGGTGTTCTGTATGTTGCAATTTTGGAACTTGAGAATATAGAAAACAAACCTCTAATAGATATTAGTCATACCAAAGACTTTCTTTTTGAGAAATATAAAGAAATGTTAAAAAAAAAACAAATATCCATCTATTTGCTCAACTCTCCTTCTCAATATACAGGTCATAAAATAAAGTATGCGGTAGAACTAGACACGTATCAAATAACTATCGTTCCAGACTGGCCAATGGAAAACCAAAACATCCCAAGTCCTTTTAAAAACATTAGAGAATGTATTGATACGTTCTACTCATCAGTAAATGCAGATTGCAAGCAAAAGTTTGATACGCAACATGCATGGGCATTTATAGAGTCACCTTGTGGTGGAGAACCTGTATTTGTTGGATTATTTAAATTAGAAGATGGGAGGAAGAAGAATGATAAGGGCACATGTTTTATTATTCATACTGAAGAGTTACTTCTTGAGGAAGTCCAAAAAATATTGAAAAACGATGAGAAATTGCGAAATACTAAATTGTTTATCTATACATACAACTCTCCATGTTTGCAAAATAATGGTCATGAGTCATGCATGGATTTACTGTTTAAGGTTTCAGCAGAACTGAACATATCTTATGGTATAGAAACTATTGTTGGATACAGCAAATGGTACGGTTTGACTGGAGATTTGAAAACCTTTAAGAATAAAAATAGTCCCTCATTTAGTCACTTTAATTATATATTCAGTAGTTCTAATTATGCAGACTATTGTGATAAATTAGTCAATTTGAATGAGAATTCTAAAGATGTAGAACTTCCCAAAGAACTTTATGATTTTAGTAAACAATTTATGCCCAATAACATTTCAGAAGTACCTTTCAGATTGCTAAAACATAACGATGTCAATAAAAAAGTGACAAATTTTTTCAAGACAATTAGCAATTATCATAATAAAACAAATGTGAAAACCGATAAGAAAAAAAAAAATAAAAGTCTTGACCTAACTTTTTCCATACCCTATTTTGGAACTCTTAATCAATATCTAAGACTTTCGGAGTGTCTAGCTAAAAAATTTGATTTGGTAAAACACATTGGTAATGATTTAGATCGATCTAAAGTAAAGTTCATAGAATGGTGGACTAAAACAATGGAAGACCAATTGGCTACTTTTCTTAAACGAGCCATTCTTAGAGGTCTTAGTGAATATATTAATAGAATCACAGTCCTCAATCACATCAGGAGGAACCCTGTGAAATATTTACAGTTTTTTCACTTACCACTAAACACTTTCCACAGCCTATTGAATAACTACATGTGAATACATGCTGCGTATTTTATTTTTTGGGGTTGTGAGTAAAG